GAGCAATCATATTCTTTACCCTCTTCTGAGTGAATAACGAACATTGACTAATCCAATGTTTGGTCTCTAATTACGTGGTTAGGCTGGGAGGATACTGACTGCCACTCCAGAGCTCCCACTACTCCCTCACCTGAGGGCTAACAATCTTGCATCAGTTTCCAATCAACTAGACCAAATTGTGGATTTTATTTTGTCACATTAAAATCTCCAATTTTGTCCAATAAAGTATATTTCCCTATTTATTTGCACCCAACTCCATGGATGACATACTCTCCCATGAAATCAAATGTGATTCTCCCCATGTTATAGAAATCATAGCTCTTTCGGAACATATGTTTTTCAACACATTTTAACATTTCAATTAACCAAATTGAAAAGTAAATGAATATTGAAGTTCAAATCATCCCAAATTATTGACATTTAAAAACCTATAAAACAAAGTCAATTCTTCACAAAACTATATCTCCAAGTAGGGAGAAGGTTAAAGAAGACTACTCAGAATTCATGAGAAGGATACGACAAAACACAGATTTCATATATAAAAATAAGTTTACAAAAATAAAAGAAATAAAAGACACAACTTATCTCACAATCCCTTGCAAACAAATCCCTAGAAGTTCTCTTCAAGTCATTCTCTCTTTACAAACACTCTCAATTCTCTCTTAGAAGTGTAATGAATAAGAAATCTCTCACCATCCCTCTCCTCTTACAATCCTTGAAGAAAATCTTTAAGCCCTTGACTTATCTCTCTTTCTCTATTTGTTCTATTTTGCCCACTGCACATGCCACTTACACACACCATAGAAGTCCTCTTTTTTTTATTATAGGCTGCCTACCTCCAAAAAAAAATTCAAAAATTCCCCCAAAAATTCTATAAAAAATTTAACTCTTTTGAATTCAAAAGAGATGTTCATTGATTCAAGAGACATATCCCTTCATAAAAAAACTTTTCAAAGTATCTAGATACATTAAATCACTCCAAGGGGCGTTTAGAACAAGTGACCCTTTTGAAATTTGTGCAAAATTAGTCTCGAACCGTCTTATTCCGCAAAAAAGTCGTCTCAGGCGCATCTTGCGCCAGCTCTCTGTCAAATGGCGCATCTGACGCCAATCTGGCGTGTTTTGTGTCAGCTTACTGAAGACTACGTTGTTTTGGGTTTTGGAGCCAATCTGGCACACCTTGTGCCAGTTTTCGGTATGTTGGTGCATCTTGCGCAAATCTGGAGCATCTTCCTCCAGAATCCCAAAATTCACTGTTTTGGCTCCAAATTTTGTAATTTTTACTACTTTTGCTCCAAATACCTAAAATTGATATACCTAAAACAAAAAAATGAAATACCCTTCTTTAAAATACAATATCATAACAAAAAAACATAAAATATATACTTAAAACTACATATTTTTTTGGTGTATCAGCGCCATTTTACTTTCATAACTATTTGGTCTGGTCGTTTGGCTATAATCATTCGGCCAGCTGACCAATGCTCGACCGATTTTTTGAGGGGGTCCCTTGAGAAGACCCATTGCCATTAGAAATGGTTATTCTATCTGTCAAAGCTTGCATCACCATAATTTGATAGACAACCTTCATTCGAGTGATGAATTTCCGTAGAGGGTTAGACTAGAGTTCCATTAAGCTACTATTTACCTTTTGAAGGCTTCTATATCTGTTCAGTTGTTGCCAATCTAAGTGCGTGATGTTTTTTGACTCAGACCAGTGTTTATTCGATTGGTTGATGAGGCATTCGACTGAAATATTGCTAGCTTATTTCATGTTCTGTTTCCCTTTTCTTGTGATCTGTTGGATCTCCTCGAGATTTACAGAGTCACATTTCTAATGTATAAATATAAATTTTATAAATGAATTTTAAGACAAGCTAATTTCAAACATAAATAATTTTAAAGGTGCTGAGTTTCATCTTACTTAGGGTCTGTTTGGTGCAGCTGCAATTTATTGATTAATCTGCTGATAAGCTGATTAAAAATAATCTGCATATAAGCTAGCTACGATGACTTTTACAAATTTTTAGTTTTTTGGAAAAGCCAGACCACTGTGAAAAAGTTCCCACCGCACCTAGATAGGTGCGGTGTGAAAATGCTATTTTCGGCTTTTTGAAAATGCATAAGCTGCTAAAATACAGATTACCCAAACAGGTCAGATGCGTTTTCAAAACGCCACCGCACTAAGGGTCTGTTTGGAGCGGCTTTATCTCCGCGGTGCGGCGGGAGGCCGTAGATGAACCGCAGAAGAAGATCGTTTGGCGCGGCGTTTCATCTGCGGCGACCGCGAATCTAGACGAAAAGCGGGCCGCAGGATCGACCCCGCGGCCCCGCTTCTCACCTTCGTCATTTTACCCCGGTGCCCTCGATTCCACCACTTGTTTGGCGAAGCCAGAAAGCAGAAAAGCGATGAGCAGAAACCAGAGAGTTCCGAAGGAGTCCTCCTTCACCATAAACTATGCATCTTAGTCGACATGGAGAATAAAAGAATTTACAAGTAAGGGTAGCTAGGGTTTTTAATTCCGAATTTGTTCGAGATGTGAGAATTCGTCAGACAATTTAATCTTCTTTGATTTTCTTATTTCTTGTATGCTCTCATCAGCAGTGCATCTTTTCTGGGTTGAGTATAATTACACCTGGCTAAGACGATGAAGAGGCAGGGAAAAGAAGAAAACGGGAATGTTGCAATCATATTGAGTTCTTAGAAAAAAATATCACTCAGAAAATCATATTTTTTTTTATTTTTTTGGTTTTTCATACACTTTAAGATACCATCCAAATACTTGCCTTTATAATTTATGCAATTGTTTTAAGAAACTTTCAAAATTTTCTTGATTAGGCATAATGTTTTTTGTAACATCTGAATCACGTTATTATGCAATTGTTTTGAGAAACTTTCAAAATTATTTTAAAATGTGCTTTTGAGGAAACTTCCACTGGATTTTTGGTTTAGTATGTTGTTTGACATTGTAGGATGTGAAGATAATTTGTATCGATTACTGGTTAGATCAGACATAAATTGGAATAATAAAGAATACCATCTTCTTGATGCTATTGCCTTATGCTCTAGCTATCTTTCCAAGTAGATCAAGAATACCATTTTTTCATGCTAGTAGATTCTCTGAGTCAAATGTGTGATGAGGTTATTTGTGCATTTAATGGTTTAATATAACATTATTTGTGTGATGAGGTTATTTTTGGTTTAAATGCTTTTGTTATTATATGTTTTTTTCTGTTGTTATTTTGGGATGATTTGAGTGAACTTCATTTTTAGGTGTTTATGATCCCTGTAGTCATTTTTGGTGGGTTTTTTATTACATGACTGACAAGAAAACTAGAATTTGTTATTTGAGGTAAAATCTTAAAATGCGATGTTTTGAACCTATAACATAGGAAAGTAGATAGAGAAGTTTATTTCTGCTGAGGCATGTTCAAGGTTGCCCTTGGAAGAAAAAGCAAGGGATCTAAATTATCAGGTATAGGAAGCAAAATATTTCAAAGCTGTAATTCAATGTTGTATGGATCGTCTAATACCTGTTGTTTTTTATTTATTCAATAAGTTTTATAATTTTTTTCTTCCATTCTAATTCATTTTGTTTTAACTTGAGTTTCCATGAACAATAATTAGATGAGGACCCTGAAAACTTCCAAAAACTTGCTTAAAGCCATGTTCAAGTGGGAGAGATGGATGATGTGGTAATGAATTTTTCAGAAGCTTCTAGTTTAAATGGTAGAGCTTCATTGTTTTTGTTTTCAATAATATGCATCATTTTATTTGATTTAAATGAATTAAGTTCATAAGCTTTTCACAAGCTTCTACTGAAGGAATGTGGAAAATAATACAAAATCACTCTAAATAAATGCTTTTTCAAGATAGAAGTCTATTTTTTACATTTTTTCCTTATAAAGTGAATTCTTGATTCTGTTGTATTATATATAGGACTATCATTGTTCTGTTCAAACAGTTTAACTAAATGGGGGCAGAATTGTCATTTTCCAGAAACATCTACCCCACAACCGTTTTCACATAGCTGCAACAAACAACCAGTCAGTTTCCCCACAGCAGCTTCCTGGAACAGCGCAGCTGCAGCTGAAAAGTAAGAGATGTAAATGCTCCTAGAAAATGAAATAAGTTGCCCGATATTTACAATTTCGCCTCTCGAGAGAAAAGAAGGAGGGTCAGCCTCCGCCGCCAGTATGGGCATGGAGGTGGGCGAATCTTCCGTAGGAATGTCGCGGGAGGAGTGCATTGATCGAATCACGAAGAGCCTTAAAGGTTTACAGTGCTGCTATTCTCTTTTCTCTCTTCTCTTGAGTTTTTTTTTTTTGTTTTTTCTCTCAACATTTATTCTGCTAATCCTGATTTCGCTAATCATTTTCAGATCCCACAGTTAGGTTTTTACGAAAGCAGATGGAGCAGGCAGGATGTCCCGTGTGGGGAAGGCTGCTCTTGGCTGTTAATTGCAAGAATCAAGGCCTTGCCGGAGGCTACTCCAGTAGAAATGGGGTAATCAGTTTTCCTTTTTTAATCTCTTATAAACTACCTTATTGAGGGTTGAAGAAATTTTTTTTTTAGATTCGATGTTGTTCATTAGAAGAGAGTGAGAGATTTTAGGGCTTATAGATTCTCTTTGATTTAGGTTTGTAGTAGACTACATTGTCCTTTAGATAGAGAAGGTGAAGTCAAAGTCAAATTGAGCTTAGGAATAGATCTAAGAGAAAGGGTCTCTCAAAGAATTTACAGCGGTTTCTCTGAAACAGAGTTTTGGCACAAAGTAAAGGATTGCGTCATGCTCACACTTGACTAGTGATCCTCTATCCATTGGTGTGGGTTAAGATTTGCTGTTTAGGATGGGTTAGATAATGCAATAACACAGTATACCTTGTGTATCTAGCTAGAATAGGAGAGTTTTACTTATAACTGTCTCCTAGGCGAGAACCTCAGAAAGGTTTTGAATTGAAGGTGAGTACCCTACACTGTTTCTATTCGAAGAACCTATATGAGCACCTGAGTTCTGTGGCAATGTATCTTTAGTGATTAGTTGACTTCAATGTATCTTTAGTGAATAGTTGACTTCTATTCAGTCCTATAGGGTAGTTCAGCGTTTTGAGTGTTGAGGATTGAATATGACCTATCTCTTGAGCGACTTGACAACTTCTAGCTTTGGATGGCTTAATGCCTTGGACAACTACAAACTTAGCAAATATTGAATCACGGGCGATCTAATTTAGTTCATATGTAACAACTTACTGGTATTGATTTAGTCTCTTATGTTGACTTGATTAATTAGATCTAGACAAACTATTGTGATAACAAATGGCTCTGATTAACCTGCTTTTTTTTACTAAAGTAAATTGGGTAATTTTACACTCCTTGGCATTTATTTTGTGTTGGTTAACTTTATGCATGCAGGATTCTATGAATGGAGATTTGTTGATTTATTGTATGGTAATTGAGTTATTTCCTATTTAGGCTTTGAAAATTTTATTGTGTACGGTGTGTTTTTAATTATGTTGATTTTTATTAGAATTTAATGCAACCATTATTTATAAATGGAATTGAGAACACGATTTAGTTTTGAATGTGTATAGAACAACATGCTTGCTTCTAAAGACAAATTCTTGCATGTTATTGCCCATTTTTATGAAAGCGTTGCAAGAGTTTGTTGTTCGAAGGAGTAGACTTTTAGTTGTTAGCGGAGTCGTCTTCATTGTTTGGAATGTAAATTAAATTGTCAACAAGGTTTGAAGCTATGGGTGCTATCCTTGAAAGTCGTATTTAAGTTAAATGCACCATATCTATCATAAAAGTCAATGAATTATCTATATTCTCGAATTCCAATATTTCATTTACATGCACCTTTCTATTACTTGTGCTTATTTTATACTCAATTTTTTTTATATGTTTTCGTTATATATAGTTTATGTTGTCAATTTGGTTTGAATCATCATTGGCTTAAATGCAATTCCAGTTGTTTTCATTGCCATCATGATTTGGAAGATCCAATCATAAAGTCCTTTCAACAACAAAATTACAATAGGGAAATAATGTTAAATAAGCTATAATGACTCTGGTGCGTTACTTATGCTTTTCCATTAATATACATTATTTTTCTTTATGAAACCTATTCTTTTAATGATTTAGGATTTTGTCCATGTTTTTTAATTTTGTTTGATTAATATGAATAACTTATGTATTTGATATATATTATAAACCAGTTCTTTAGAAGCTACTTCTTTATTTACTTGTATATGCTTTTTATTTGATTTTTTAGGGCCTTTTTTTCTCACAAAATCTCATTATTATAGTGACATTAATCCCTTCTTAACTCAGACTCAAATTCGCACAAAGGCTAATGATAATCCATAATTTTGAGCCAACTTCAAGTGTAAGGGGCCTTAGTCCTATGCTCTTAGTGAAAAGAGTGTGCGAAATTCAAGGTAGAGCTTGCATTTTAGCTCTTGATTTTTTTAGGTTAATGCCTATCTATTGTACTTATCATATTCTGCAACAACCTATATATATTCTGGAAGTATTCTTTGGCAAGCAGTTGTAAGAATTAACAATGGGATGAATTTCATTTGTTTTTTCAAGTTTTAGAAAAGAGGCGGGGGACTTTGTGCTGCAAAGTACATAATACTATTTGTATAATTACCACTAATACAATATTTTCTTTCTTTACTTCTTTTGATCTTTTTTCATGTTGAATCTTATGTTTTTATGCATCCCCTGATTAGGTGAGAACACAAAGTTTTAGGAATGCAATCTTTATTCTGGAACTCGGTGGCCAAAGTTTTTAATCACTTGGAGCTTTTGTTTTCATTATGTATTTTTATTCTTTTAGCCTGTACATATATTCATTGGAGAATTATTTCATTATTCGATTATTTTAGAAATATTTGAGAATAGTTTTATAGCTATTATACATACATCTATAGAAAATCAAGTTAGTAGTTCTTTGTGAGAATTTACATTGATCTGTGATATTAAATTATTCTAAATCACTGCAAATTATTATTATTATTATTAATTCATATATTTCTAGAATGTTTTTCAATAGTTTTTGATCCAATAGACTCATAGAGGTAATTTAAACTTTGTTAAGCTACTAATTAAGCCAATTAGGTGGACCAAGATGGTGCACCATTATGGGGCTAGCCTTTGGTTTTTCATGTCAAGCCCAAGGATCAAGTCAAAGCTCAAGACAAAATCAGGACCAAGTCAAATCTAAAATTGAGTTATATGGAGTATAAGTGCAACATGGAGGGCTACAATTAAATACCAGAGGGCTTAATCCAAATTGAAAATTTCTAATACTATATGCGATGGTCCAATTCAAAATAATATTGATCAAGAAGATAATTGGATTGTATTATATTAGTTCAAGAAGAAAATTGAATCCAAGGAGCATAAAGTCTATCTTATGACATTTTAAGGGGCTACAATTGACGTCAATGCGGCTTAATTCAAAATGGAAAAATTCAAATCTCTGGTTAATGCATTCAAAGTTTAGTTTTGAATTGTTAAAAATAAACTTTAACTAAATTTGAAGGGGGAGAAGATTGGTTTCACAAATCAAAACAAAATTAATTTTTTCAAAATTTTTTTAAAACTAGGTTTGCCTTCGTGGGTGCAAGGGTGAATGAGCTTTACATGAGTCAAAACTAATTTCTTAGTTTCAGGAAGTTTTATGATTTTCTTTAATTTAATGTTCAACAAAGAACAACATTTATTTTATTTAATAGATATTCTTAGGATATTAATTAAACTTTTTATGTTTAGTTTTTTTGATACCTGGTGTCTATAAATAGCAATCTATTGCAATGATTTTTCATTCATCATTAAATCATTCAATTAGTTCAATCATGACAAGCTTCCGTATCTGTCCCTATCCCTCTCTCTATCTTTCTGATTAGACCTTTTAATCATTGAACTGTGAAACCATTCTAATGTAGCCAACAGTCACAATCCCTAAACCTCTAAAATTTTATAAAGGAGAGTGATCAATTCTCATGAATACTGCAAATTTTGCTTAACTATGGATCTAAGAAAGTTGTTATTTAAACACTTATTTTTATTATAGGACTCTAATTCTTGGTGAAATCAATCAACAACGTCACTGTTAAAACTAAATAGAACCAGTCAACAAAAATAAAAGCTCTAGTCGAATTCTTTAATAGCCATACCAACAAAATTTTCATAAGTCAACCAACTTGAAAGGTCCATTATAATAAATGTAGGTATTTGATATCCATTAAGGGGCAATTTGTTTTCTTAAAAAATGATGCAATGTAAAATGAATGCAATATAGAAGTAATGTGTTGTATTTGAAATACTTTACTATTATTTGGCTCACTATAAAATAAATGAACGACTTTATTGTTTTGTTTGATTTTGAAATAAAATGAAAATAATGAATTTCAATATATTTAAAAATTAATGCATTGGTCAGCGGTGGTGGCCGACGAGTAGAAATGGCAACCAATTGTGGTTGTGGCTAGTGGAGACTGACATCAGCAGTCGACAATCAGCTGAGGTGATTGATAGTGGTGATCGGCGACGACCGATGCCCATTGGAGGGGGGGGGGGGGGTGGGGGCACGCGGTCGAATTATAAAATCAGAGAAAATGAACTAAGGTAAAGTTTGTTGGACGTAAAGCAAAAAGCATTCGAACTGAGCCTCTCTCGTGCAGGGAAAGAAGCAGTGGGTTGGATTTGGTGCAGTGGAGGAAGAAGATTAGGGTTGTGCGGGTTTTGACTGAGGTAAGATGTATTAGATTGATTTAAATATTAAAACTTACTAATAATAATAATAATAATAATAATAATAATAATAATAATAATAATAATAATAATAATAATAGTAAGATATTTATTGAATAACAATTTTAGCGGGATTTCATAAATTAAATACTTAAATAATTTATTAAATTAATAAAATTTTTACGTTAATAGCAAACAAAACGTGTATTGAGGTGAGTACTTCTCTTCATAAATTATTATATCAATTTGATATTTCTTCTAAACTAATTTTGTGGGTTGTTAATTATGCTTAATTAATGAAATTGATTGTGCTTTTCTTAACATTTTATCGGTGATTTTGATATAAATGCTTATAATCTCATAATATGAAATAATTAATGCATTATTATTGAGTGATATGAAAGTATGAATGATATGATCTGCATAGATTGCTTGTATGTGCATGACTGACTATGATGGAGTCATCTTTTAATGGTATTAGTGGGAGAACACTCGATATGCCTGAATTGATACAATTTTATACTGTGCTCTTTTGATGGTTGTATAGATATGAAATAATATTGATATAATATTGACATAGAATCTTTTGATAACATGTTAAATGTTTATATTGATTAATAAAGAAGTTTAACTGACATGTATATTATTATTATTTTTTTGTATTACTGTGGTTTAGGAGTATGCGTATTCACTAACTCGTTTAGCTTATTATTATTTTAACTAATTTTTCAAGTTAATTAAATGATTAAAGACGAGAAATAAAAGGAAAAATGTTTATAAAAGGCGTGGGCATGCAGTAATGAGGTAATATAAATTACTTTAGTTAAATTAATTAGTGACTCTTTCATCTATTAATAACAAATTATAAAAAATGAATAATGAAATTTCTTATTTACACTGTTCGACTGTCTGTACCCTCTTTGGTTAATTCCATGTCCTGGGCCGGATCTTTTTTAGTGAATTATAATTTTATTCATCCTTAGTCTCTCATCTAAGATATTCAATGAAACTTATAATGGTAATATACTTGTTTAGAGACCAATAAACTATAAAACTTTTATACATTGGATGATATCCCAACACACCATAGTTAGTCTTTAATTTTTAAATTAATCATGTAATTGATCCATATAATCACTGAATGGAAAATCTTGCTATTTATGATTATGTTTTACATCAATTTATATAGACTTAGTAGCAACTCTCCACCAATTTTTATTGACTTAATAGCAACCATCCACCAAAATTATTTGGCATATTTGTTAATTTAAATTTTTGCAACTTCAACTATTTAGGATTCAAATATATTGTAATCCAAATTATTAATTCAAATTGAAAATCACCTAAGACATTACCTTCGATTTAAGCTTGGAATATGTTTAGAATGTATTTGACATACTTTCGAGTTGTTTGGTTTACTTCAAAATAAACGTAGAACTTTATATTTTCTTATTTGGTTTGAAGTAAATTAAAAATAATGTATTTACTTGGGCAAAGGCGGTAGGTGGCGGTGGGCGACGACGGAGGGTGATGGCAGGTGGCGACAGCCAGCAGTGACGACTGATGATGGCCAACTGCGGCTGCGGCGCAGGCGCTGAGTAGCAATAGTGGCGACAACAGATGGAGACGACAGACAAGTGAAAGCGGCGGCGGGCAGCGACATGGGGGGCAACGGCGAGGGGTAACACGCAGTTGGCTGGCGGCGGGCTCTGGTGACTTGCCGATAACATTTTACATGAATTATGTAATTCAAATTCCGCTAAATTGGTCAAATTCTAAACTCAACCAAAATGAACTACGGTGTAAACTTAAAATTCATTAAAACTTTATATTGTATTTGTAAATTTCATATCAAACACAATTTTCTCATATCCCTGCAAATGAATTACAGTACACTGCTACTTCACTCAACCAAACGACTCCTAAATAACTATTGTATGCACATAATATATGAATATATGATATTCAAGTCTTGATCCTCTACTCTGTAGGGCATCATTTTAGTGAGTGCTTTATGCATTGGACCACAAATAAATACTTACACAGCACATTGCGCATAACATTTTGAAAACATTGATGAGATGTTAGTTTTAATCTTGAGTGCTGTACCATTCAATTTTGCTTTTTCTCTTTTAATAACAATAGAATAGTATTCATATGATAAAATGGTGGTTAAAATATTAATTTTATGTATAATAATCATAAAGCAATAAAAAATTAATACGTGGGCGGGTAAAAATAAAATGCACAGCCCAAGCAAACACTCTAGTTAAGTTCACGAGAAGAGAATTACTGCAGAGTAAATAAATATCGTCATTACACACTTTAATGCGACTTTCTTTATAAATAGTACTCCAAATACTTCCAAACCATTTTTACTGAAACAAATAAACACTCAATGTATCACAACTCTTTTACTCTAAAGGTAAAGCGAGTGAGGAAGTAATTTGCAAGGCCTCTTAGGCTGCATTAAAATGGCAGTGAGGTGGACATTTTATCTGAACTTGCATGCAATTCAAAGTATCTTTGTAGAAAATTCTATCTGATGATCCACGGTGATTGGTGTGCTTAGTGTGCATTATTTTTTCAAGGATGTGATTTATTGCACTTTATTGCTGCTATGATATTTTATCAATTTTTGTTGCTATAATCTTAGGAATATTTTGAACTTTTGTTTTTTTTTTCCGAGGTTACTCATTCAATCTCGTCATTTCAGATCACTGTATGTTGTAATCAACTGTCTTACCAAGATGAGATAAATCAAGTTCTAATACATGAACTTATTCATGCTTATGATGATTGTCGTGCCAAGAACATGGACTGGAAAAATTGTGCTCATCATGCTTGTTCTGAGGTACCTTGTTTATGACTCTAGACATTTTTTACTATTTTTTGTGCTTCCATATTTGCTTTTGTGTGCAGTAAGGTTGAAGAATCTGCGTTGCTGTTGCAGATCAGGGCCAACCATCTAAGTGGAGATTGCCATTATAAGCGAGAAATGCTACGAGGGTTCATGAAAATACGAGGTCACGAGCAAGTGAGTTTTTTATTTTTATTATTATTATTTTTTTTATGTTTATATTATTCTAGCTACACTTAAACGTGTGCATGGGCTCACACATTCATTGTTTGGGTAATTTTAAGGAGTGTGTGAGAAGGAGAGCTCTAAAATCTGTAAAAAATAATCCATACTGCTCGGAAGCTGCTGCTAAGGATGCCATTGCAGCAGTATGGGATATATGCTATGAGGATACTTCTCCATTCGATAGGGCGCCTTAATTCTTTGAACAAAAATATTCCCCCATCATTTTCTCTTCAGAAATGAAGCTGGTAAGGGCTTATTTTGTTTCAGTAATAGAAGTTATAAATGCCGAATGGATGCACGGGTCATTGCTAGAACCCTGCACCATATTTTTGTTTACTAAATTTGCACTATTACTTGGATTGCCTGGGCAATGATGATTTAGTTCAATATTTTACAAGAGTCCATTTTATTGCATGCGACGAATCCAGAAAATTTCAGCAGGTTCAGTACTGATTCTTATGAAAATGGTTTCTACTCATGATTTTGAAGCTGCTAAACTCTTTTGCTGAAATGAGCTGATTATACCAGATCACACCTTCGACGATTATTTGCCTAGATTGCTTTTAGCAATTAATAGATAAAGTGTTGGCCCATGTGGTCATGAAGCTTTATCAAAGAGCTATACTGGTTAGTAGTTGTGTGATTCTGTCTAGTTATGCATCACTTTTATTGAACCCGCTCTTCTTTTTCGGCATGAGCTTATGAAAATGACAAGTATATTGTACTTTTATTTGATAGAAGTCTAGCGGATTAGTTTATTATTGTAATGTAGAAAATGTATGGTTTATTTGAAGATGGATTTTTGGGCAAATGCAAATTCTAACTCTCTCTATATATTTATTTATAAGCAACTTTTGTTATGTATTTTGATGCAAATCACCATATCAAGAGCAAAAGTTAAAGAAAAAATGAATTGAAGCAAAATAATTCTTTTCATATTTTAATGGAGCAAAAGTAAAGAAGTTCAAGATAATGAGAAACTTAGTAACACATTAAACTATTTTGTGTTAAGTTTTATAGTTTTAAAGTTAAAATCTATATCACTTGAGTTATTTATTTTGTCATAAAATTGAGATTTATATTCCTATATTATAAGATCGAGGAAATTCTCATGAAATGTGGACATAATAATGTTGTAAAAGAAATTGACTTGAGATCTTAAGATAAGGTAATGATTAATGCTGTAGAAAAACTAACCTAGAGATCTTATGCTAAGGTGAAATTTAGAATAAAAACAAGTAACTCAAACTTGTTCTATTGATATATAAAAGACTTATTGTTTTCAATTGTATCTATAACTAAAATACGCTTGATTCTATTGCACATGTAATTTATATAGGAACCGATGGGCAGTTAAACCCAAAAGCCGCTTTCAAATTATAAAGTTAGGTTTAATAAAATATTATTTAGCATAAGCTGATGTTTAATTTGGGAAGGAAATAAGATTCATAACTCAACAACATAGGATAGTTTGTCTTTGACTGGTGATGCAAAACTTCAATTAATGTATCTTTCTTTTTGGTTGTCTAATCCTTGAATGTAATCATATTTACTATAAAATTCTAACATGGCTATGAATGTGTGCATCAACTAAGTATGGTCCAATGCTGATTTCCTATTAGGCAAACTTTGTGGACAACATGGTCTGTCTAACCATGCATGACAGTTCATAAATACACTTCTAATGTATTTTTATTTATTTCATTATAGTTGCATTTAAAGTTGTTCAAATAATTATATTATTGGGTAGAAAATTTATCTCTTAAGAGCTTAATGCATAAAATATTCAAGCCATTCCACACAAACAATTTAAGAAAAACCTAAGAAAATGTGCTACCCTAGCAAAGCAATAAAATAAATGGAAAAACACAAGCAAATAAACACAAAAATAATAGAGGTTGAAAGTGGTTAGGTATCACAACACACATTAAAAGAAGGGTGATTGGGCTTTGCCCCTTATTCAACCTAGCTTCTATATAAACTTATTTTATTAAGCTTGGGGGTCTTCATACTTTATCTCCTTCATCATTCAAATATGACAAGGCATCATCGTGGTTTGTATGTCGCATCTTTGCTTGCTGTAGATGTTGTAGATCCCATTTGGCCTTTTTACATGGCCTTTCTAATCTATCTTAGACTTTTGAATATATATATATATATATATATATAATGTTTATCGTCCCAGAGAATGGGAGAAGACCGCTCTGCTAGGGTTTCACCCGACGACGAAACCCTGGTTTGATTCTTGACTCGACGACGAGGTTTCCCGCACTCGATGACGACGACGACGAATCATTGTCTTCTCTCTCACGCCAAACGACGAAGGGTTTCAACTTCTGCTTCTGCGGTTTCGTCGTCTCCTCCTTCACGCCTTCCAACTAGCCTTCGAGCTTCTGCGGTTCTTTTCTGGGCGGATCGAGCTGCAGTTTCTACCGAGCTGTGACTTCGTGCCCTGTCTTCTGCGCATTTTCCTGCGCAGCTCTTCAGGAAGGGTTTTTCTTTGCTCTGATGGAGCTTCCTTCTTCTTCAATTGAACCTGACAAAACCTTCTCCTTTGCTCACGTGGTGGGTAATTCTAAGGAGGAGACGACGGTTGTCTTCCCTTTAAGTTATAATGAATATTGTGATGGTACATGTAACTGTCTCTTTATTAAGAATGCAAGCAGAAAAAGTGGGAAGACAACACTCTTTTTCTCCACATCAAAAATTTTAATGTTGACTGAAAAATTCAAATTTGCTCTTATTGGGAAATTTTAGTGGGGACACCCATCTATGGAAATTATCAGGAAAAATTTTGATGACCTCAAATTAATAGGAAAGTGGAAAGTGGGGCTCATGGATGGGAGACATGTATTGATTCAGTTAACCGTGCCTGAGGACTACACTCAGTTTGGTAAACCTATGAAGCTACTCAAGTGGTCTTCTGATTTCGACCCAATCATGAAACTAACCCAAATCATGAGACTCTCACTGTACCGGTATGGTTTAGTTTACCTGTCTCAAGCTGCATTTTTTTCACCATCATGTTCTCTATTTTATTGGGGTCATCCTTGGGGATCATTTGAAGCTAGATCTACTTACTTTCAACCTAACCAGACCCTCAGTGGACATAATACTTGTGGAAAGGGATACTACTTTACATGATGTTACTGAAGCCTGGCTGGGCACAACTCATAATGATTATTGACAACAAATCGTCATGGAGCACAAGCCCCCATATTGCACCCACTGTAAGATGTTTGGTCATATTCTTGATAAATGCCACAAGTTTCATCCAAATTTGAAGTCTAAGGTTCAAGTGAATAAGGATGGGTATAACCCCACTGCTTTGGACATTTTAGTTCCACCTGGTGAGGATATTACCAGACAGGAGGTGTCTGTTGCCCCTGAGGACCACCCCATGACACTGTTGTTACTGTTACTGCGAGTGATGTGATGCTGACACCTTCAAATCCCATAGAAAACAATATCAACAAAATTGTCTTGAAGCAAGTATTGAAAAAACTTAACTGCACTTCCCACTATCTGCTGCTGATCATAAAGCCATATGATTTTGTCATCTCTAATTTTTAAAGTGGAATTGGTTTGTCTTTGGTGTCTAATGCATGCATGAAGGAATTTGGTGTTTCTAACCCCATCTAAATGGCTTCAATAGGTAGCTTTCTGTTTGAAGAACTCTATGTCATGTTGAATAGCCTCATTCAAAGTATTTTATGCATTGATTAACTCCTCTTCACTAAACAAATCATTCTCATATTGTTCATCCATACTAGAAATAAACACCTCAGCATCCAACACCTTCTTATGTGTATCACCAAAGATCCTCCAATTCTAGGATTTTAAAGCATTTGCCATTTTTTATGTCGTGCACATAGATTTATGTTCCCCAAATTTTTGGTGAGTAGTCCATACATTCAAAAATTTGAATTGTTTGCTGGTAGATTTAAGCAAGCTTCCAACTTTAGATAAAAGTAGAGAATGATCAAAATAGGATCTATGGATATGAGCCGCTTCAGTGAAAGTAAAACTATCCATCCAATCATGGTTGCGCAGGACCCTATCAAGTCTCTCAAACACCTTTCCTCTCTGCTAAGTAAATCCACTGCCAACTACAGCTGTTATATTAGCATTGAAATCCTCCATAGTTCTTTTACGAGGGGCCCTAACACCTTTCTTCTGAATTGAGGAAGCAATGGTGTTAAAGTTACCTCCAACAAGCCAAGGTCCATTGTACTAGTTCCTAATACAAAAATTTCCTCCCAAAAACATTCTCTATCGGCAAGTAAACAACCAACATACACAACAACAACTTGAAACATAAAATCACACAATATAATCTCCAAGTGCATGATCTGAGGACTGTCAAGTAACATCCTCACCTTAATCTCATTTTCCATAAAAAAACCAAATTTTCATGTTACAATTATAAAGATAGTTATAACTTCCCAATTTCTTAACTATTTTAGAAATGTTATCCATTGTCAACAGTGGTTCAAGAAGAGCAAAGCACCACAAGTGATGAGCCTTGTAAAGACTCATCAACCTGTTAGAGGCATCTATTTTGGCGATGCCTCTAACATTCCAAATTGTAAAACTAACAATTTTAAGGGTTATGCTCCCTCTGTTAATCTTAGAAGCCATACCATCACAAAATTGGCTGTTATACCTACTGATGAGTTGCCATGAGAACTTAACACTGCCTTTGGGTCCGTATAGTTTAACTCCTTGTGAGTTTTCCTCTTCTATTTTTTTGAATTCTCTGCCTGTCATTCACCCTCTAAAACCTCTTAAGTAGCCCTCATATCGACCTTCATAATTCTTAGTTTTCTATCACTTTCTTATAACTGAGTATGTTCAACATTTTGAGAACTCTCATTAAGTTCCACATGTTGAGGGGCTTCTTTAGCTTGCCCCAGAAGATCATTTTTTCATTGTGCTTCCACCTCAAAATTTGTAGGTATATCTTCATGTAACACATTGTTGCTTTCCAATGTATTGTTTGTGTCTTCCATATCATTTTGTTTGTTGATCATCTCTGACAATCAAACCAGGCTCTATATGGTGTTGTTGAGTAACATCATTGACCTCCTTTCTAAAGGTTGGCACAACCGTCACAGGTTTAGAGCACTAGAACCACAAATAAAATAGTAAGTACGCAATGGAACAATAACTCAAACCAAAACTAGCAAAAACTACATCAAAATGTAGCAATAAAATGGCAGGAAATAGAAATCAAACCAAAATTGGCACATACAAACCACAAAACTAGCCAAAACCAAAAAAATCAACCAAAACACTTGAACCCTATCTGGAGCGGGAAACTGGTCGTGCGCGCGTGCGTGCGTGCCTGCGATGAACGCAGTTTGGTCTGCTAGGGTTTTGGCGATTCCATAGCGACGAAGGTGTTTCTCTTCTTGAATCGCATTGATGCTGGTGAGATCCTTCCTTTCCTCCTCTTTGCTGGTGTGTTTTTCCTATTTTCGATTCGGTTTGTTCTGTTCTTGCGATTTTGGTCCCTTGAGAGGCCGTTTTGGGGGATCAGATGGAACAGTCTTTTGTTGAGGCCCTCACGGGAGCTCATAGTTCCAAAATAGGTAACTCTGGTCTCTTCCCTCATTCCTTTCATGATGCCCTCTGCGTTGGTGGCGAGTATAATTTTATACGGAAAACTGGAAAAAAATGGTAAGCTAGTTATGTTTGTTTCTGAGGATGAGTCCATCATTCTTGCTTCTTCTGCTTGGCATGCTCTTGTTGGGAAATTTGTATTTGGACACCCTAAACTAATCCAATTAGAAGGGAATTTG